ATATTAAATATATTGTCATTTAATGTAATATGTACAGAATGCTCCCATGCCAAATTGACACCCCACATGAAATAACTCTGCTTGCAGATAGACATAAAGTTCAAAAAGATGAGAAGTCAACCACTATGATTTGCTAACTCTTCTACATTTGGTTGCAATTTGAATTGAAATTCTAGACATCAGGAAATCTCAAAGTCTAATTGATGTTAAGACTTGAACTTTATTGTGATATTGCCTTTATTAAACTAAAAAGCCCAATTACTTTTCAATTGACATTCATTCCAGAAACATTCAAGGGATATTTAAGCATTTATCCTTGATGATTAGATGGCAATTCCTACCTTTCGAACAAAGACAAACAATTAAAAACGTTATATCCTATCCAATCTGTAGATGACCATTTATTCTTTATTGAACTAATGCATTTAATCCCATTTTCACCATTTTCTATGGAAAGTAATACCAATTTCCTGAAAAATATTATTCTCCTCCATTATACATTTACATTCCGCATACATTTGCAACAATAACTGTTGGGCCCACTAGATCGAGCCCTATGGCAAAAACTGTCGATACGCACAGTGGAACCCAAATATGGGACAAAATACACCAAAATTCATGCATGTGTATACAAGTGAAAATAGCAAGCAATAAATAGAATAAACACTGAGACCAAATTTAAGTAGTTCACCTTTTTAGACTATGTCCATAGGAGAGAGATCAGATCCACTATTTAAAATTAAAAATAATGATTACCCAATCATCCAAGAAGTAAGCTTTCTTGGGCTCTCTGACTTCTTCTGCAGGATTTTCTCTCTCTAGGATTTCCCTTCTCAGAGGTTCTTCTCTCTCATAGGCTTTCTTCTCGTTCTCTCTCTGACAGGCTTCTCTCTCTCTCTTCTTCTTCTTTTCTCTAATAAAAGGTTTACTCTCTCAGCAATGAAGAGACATACCAAGAAGAGGCACCTATATCAAGAGAGGAACTCAACATCATAAGAAAAATCACAGGCACTCACGTGTGCCTTTTTATGTGGAATGAAATTTTTTTCATACTCTCTAAGAAAGATAAGTAGAACCGATGCATGTGATTGATCAAGAGTTAAGAAACTCTCTCAACCTCTCACATGACGTTTATTTCATTCCAACCACCAAAATGACTTGATCAACAAGTCATAGGTTGAAGTTTCCAAAACTGTTCCTATTAATTTGGACAATCATGTGAACGTCGCTCTCAACATGGGATGGGATTCTCCCAACAATCTACTGCTCCTGTCCCATGGGGGAGGATCTCTTCCATAGATTAACTAGGTGCTCAGATTGCACCCATGCCAGCCATGCTTTTGCACAACTCTTGGTTGTCTCTGGTCAAGGTCTTTGTCATCATATCTGATGTATTCTTGTCAGTATGGATCTTCTCTGGCTACAAAACTTCTCAAAATCATCTGAAATCAAACGGTAACGCACATCAATGTGCTTCATTCTTGAATAGAAGCTAACATTCTTATTCAAGTGGATAGCGCTTTGACTGTCACAATGGATGATATACCTGTTTCAAGCTCAGCTCTTAGAGGAATCTCTTCATCCATATCATCTTCTTGTAAGCTTCTAAGACTGCAATGTATTCTACCTTTGTGGTCGACAGAATCACACACTTCTACAATTTGGACTGCCATGAACCAGCTTTGCCTACAAAAGTGAACAGGCATCCCGAGATTGACTTCTTGGAGTCCATATCTCTAGCCATATCTGCAACACACTTTTACATTGAATCTTTTTGGCTACTTTATATACATCTCTTCCTCCAAATCACCATGGAGAAAGGCAGTCTTGATATCTATCTTTTCTATATCTAGATTCAAGCTTGCAGTCAGGCCTAACACCATATGAATTGATGAAATTTGCACCCCGGGGAGAAAAAATTCCATAGAAGTTGATACCCCTTTTCTGCCCGAAACCTTTCACAACCAACCTGGACTTGTACCTTGGTTGTGAGCTCTTTTCTTTAATCTTTAGCCTGAATACCCACTTGTTCTTTAGTGCCTTCTTGCCTTTAGGAAACTTTACTAGGTCAAAGGTGTGGTTCTTATACAAAGACTTCATCTTCTCGTGCATAGCTTTAAATCACTCCTCTTTATGTTTGTTGGCTTGAGCTACCTGATAGCTTTCGAGTTCACCCCTTCAATGTATAAGATATACTGTGATGCAGGGTATTTGGTAGAGGGCTTATGTTCTCTAAAAGACCTTTTTGGTTCAACTGTAGGTGGCACTCCTTGAACAGGTTGCTCCCCTTACTTCACATCACTTGGAACTGACATGTCAAACTCTTGGGACCCATCCTCTTGTTGCACTTCTCCCTAGTCTTCATGTCCCATTGAAGGAAGAACTATGACCGATTTTGAATCATTGAAGATCCGTGGCTTTTCTTACTTATCTATGTCTTCAATTGCAAGGTCTTCTTGAAATACCACATCCCTACTCCTAATCACCTTCATACTCTCAAAATCTCATATCGTGTAGCCGAACTCTTCATTTAAGTACCTTAAGAAGATGTATAGGAGTGCTTTCTCATCTAACTTGGATCTTTGTTCCTTTGGCACGTGCACAAATGCCTTGCACCCGAACACCCTCAAGTGCGAATAAGAGATATCTCTTCCGGTCGAAACTCTCTCTGAGATTTTGCCATCTAGAGGAAATAATGGTGATCTATTTATTAGGCAGTATATTATGAGAACTGCTTCACCTTAATACGACTTTGGTAACTTGGCGGCGGATAGCATGCTCCCAATTCTCTCCATAATGGTGTGATTCATTATTTCTACTGCACCATTATGTTGGGGGCTATATGGCACTATCTTTTTGTGCCTTATGCCATGTGAAACAGTAGCTTTTGAAAGCATTTGAGGTGTACTCTCCCCCATTGTCTGATCTGAGACACTTCAAGAATTTACATGTCTCCCTTTCCACCTTAATATGAAAATTCTAAAAGATCTTAAACACCCGATCTTTCGATTCCATTAAGTATACCCACACCTTTCTTGAAACATCATCGATGAAGTTGACGAAGTATGATGTGCCACCAAGCGACTTGACATCCATAGGACTACACACATCTTAATACACCAGATCTAAGATTTTCGTATCTTTAGAGCTCTTACTTGAGAATAAGACTCTATGTTGTTTGCTTATGGTCACATGGGGTTAGAGATGTATTTTTTATACAGGGAAGAATATGCTTATTTCCTAAGATTTGTATTCTATTTTTACTCATGTGGCTAAGATGCTTGTGCCATAAGTCTAGTACAGGTTATTCCATGATGGCATTAAATTTGTCATTAGAGACTCGCACTTGTGTTCTATGAAGTGAATAATACTTTTTGCCTTTCGCACGACAAGAAATCCCTTCGTTAGTTTTAGTGTCCCTTAACGAACATTGAATGGTACCTTTCCTCATCTAAACACCCTCCTGAGATGAGGTTCAGACAAATATCTGGTACATATTTGACGTCATTTAGCAGCAACTTCATCCCAATGTCAATCTTGATGTGTACATCTCCCTTAGGCACAATCTTTGAGGAACCACTATTCCCCATCTTTACGAAGCCAAAGCCTCCCTCTCTGCAACAAGCAAACAACGTCTATGTAGAATAACATGAAATGATGCTCCGGTATCTACAACCTAGTTAGAGTTGCATAAATTTGATGCAATATTAATGCACCCGTTACCACAGTTTTCAACCATGCCAACATTTGTGGTCACGACAGTGGTTTGCTTGTCATCATCCTTGCCATTGTCCTCAATCTACTCTTTCTTGGTCTTTCGGCACTCTTTTCTTGATGTGCTCATTCTTTCCACAATGATAACATGTGACCCCTTTTCTCGACTTCAATCTAGATTTATCCTTAGATCGGTTTTGGTCCCTATTTTTGGACCTTCCTCAATTTATGAAAAGAGCTTGCGAGTTCAATAAGTCTGAGGATCTTCTTCTCGTCTTCTCATTCAGCAGACTATTAGTGACTTGACTTATAGTCACTATCCCATCAAGTGTTGAGTTACTTACGAAGACTACCAAGGTCTCTCAATCGCCCGGTAATGAACCAAACAAAAACAGAGCTTGTAGCTCATCTTCTAGGAACAAGTTCATCGTTGCGAGTCGGTTAACAATACTTTGCACCTCATTTAAGTGCTCTGCAATGGATCCCTAGTCTCTGAACTTCATGTTGACCAATTTCTAAATCAAGAACACCTTATTTCCGGTGGTCTTTCTCTCGTACAAGTCATGCAGCTTATCCCACAATGACTTGGTGAATGTCTCCGTCAACATGGTGGAACACATTTGTGTCCAACCATTATCGAATAAATCCAAGAACCTTTCGATCCAGCCTCTTCCGCTCATCATCAATCATACCTTCGGGCTTGTGTTCTACCCCTTCAATGGGTATGTACAAGTTCCTACAATATAGAAGCTCTTCCATCTTCAGCTTCCAGATGATCCAATTATTCTCATTTAGTGATATCATCCTACTACCGGTATTGGAATCCTTTAATACACACATACAATCTTCATACCCCCCTTCTCCCTTTCTTCTTTTCACTGGCGGTTAGGGCGGATCACTATCTGTTAAAGTCCATTCAACGGTTAAGAGCTTCTGGCAGTTAAAGTGCCTCCGTTGGTTAAGATCCTCCCCCATGTGATAGGAGGGAGAGATTGTTGGGAGAATCTTATCCCATGTTTGAAGCGACCTTCACGTGGTTGTCCAAATTAATAGGGGCAGTTTTGAAAACTCCAACGTATGACTTGATAATTAAGTAATTAGGTGGTTGGAATGAAATGGACATCAGTTGAGAGGTTGAGAGAGTTTATTAACTCTTTACCAATCACATTCAAAGATTTACCTTCTCTCTCTTAAGGAGAAAGAAAGAATAAAAAAAAGTGCATTCCACATAAAAAGCCTCACATGAGGGCCCAAACTTTTCTTATGATATTGAGTTCCTCTCTTGATGTACGTGCCTCTTTTTGGTATGTCTCTTCATTGTTGAGAGATATAGTAAACCTTCTATTAGAGAGAAGAAGAAGAAATGAGAGAAAGTGATCTTTCTTGTTAGAGAGAAGAAGAGAGAGACAGAAGCTTGATAGAGAAAGAAGGGGAAGAAAGCCTCTAAGAGAGAAGAACCTTAGAGAAGGAAAATCCTAGCGAGAGAAAATCCTCTAAAAGAAGTCAGAGAGCCCAAGAAAGTTTGTTTCTTGGATGATTTTGTAATCATTATTTTTAAATAATGGATCAGATCTCTTTACCTAGCCTAAAAAAGTGAACCACATAAATTTGATATGTGTTTATTTTATTTAAGAACAGCGCTTGTAGCTCATCTTCTAGGAACAACTTCATCATTGCGAGTTGGTTAACAATGTTTTACACTTCATTTAAGTGACCTATAACGGATCCCCCGTCCCTGAACTTCATGTTCACCGATTTTCGAATCAAGAATGCCTTATTTCTGTCAGTCTTTCTCTCGTACAAGTCATGTAGCTTATCCCACAATGACTTGGTGGATCTCTTTGTCGACACATGGTGGAACACATTTTTGTCTAACTATTGTCGAATAGTTCCAAGAGCTTTTCGATCTAATCTCTTCCGCTCATCATCAATTATATCTTTGGGCCTGTGTTCTACACCATCAATGGGTGTATACAAGTCATTTTAGTATAGAAAATATTTCATCTTTGGCTTTTAAATGATCGAGTTATTCCCATTGAGTGAACTCCTGGTATTGGAATCCATCTCCAATCCATGCACATAGTCTTGACACCCCTCTCTTCTCCCTTTCTTCTTTTCACTGACAGTTAGGGAGGATAACCTTCTTTTAAGTCTCTTCAACAGTTAAAGGGCCTCCAGCAGTTAAGGTGCCTCCGTCGGCTAAGATGCCTCTGACAGTTAAGACGCCATTGTCAGTTAAGGTGACTTTGACAGTTGAGGCTTCACCATCGGTTAAGTTGTCTTCGTCAATTAAGAGTGACTTTGTCAATTAAGGGCGATCTCGTCGGTTAAGGTCGATTTCTCTGGTTAAGGGCAACTTCATCGGTTAAGTGCCCCAGCAGCAGTTAAGGTGTCTTTTGCTGGTAAAATCCCACCGGTTGTCAAGGTGTCACCGCCAGTTAACGGTTAAAGTGGTTCACTGTTAGTCAAGGTGTTAACTAACAATCCGTCGGTTAAGCCGTTATTTGCACAATGGTCACTCACCGACAGTCACTTTTAATGTCAGTTAAGGTTCACCGGCGGTGGTTAAAGTAGTTCACTGTTGGTAAAGGTGTTAACTGTCGGTCCGTCGGTTAAAACCTGCTTTGCACAGTGGTCACTCACCGACGGTCTCTTTTAACAGAGAGTATGTCCCAAAACACTCCCTTCAGCTGCCAAAGCTGCCTACCTTAAGAGTTTTCTTCCTTGTTCATTCAAAGCTCCTTTAGGCGATTAAAATAGAATCCAACCTACCACGAGGTTTCGCAGGGACAAGGGAAAAACGTGCACTCCAATACCACTTGTTAGGCTCGACAGGGTGAGCCCAACAATAAATGCATTACTAATAATGCGTACGGCAATACTTCAGCATTCATACACCAAAGATAGCAATTGCCCCAACAAAGCCGTTGGACGGATTGAAATCCACCACGTTTATTCTCTGTTTTCTATCATAAAACAAATCAACTAATAAAGAAAAAATACAGTACCTTAACAGTTGCTAGAGTGAACAATGCCAAAATCGCCTGAATTTCCTGTTAAAGCATCAATATCTTACCGGTAAATTCATTTACCCACTAACTGAATCAGCACTCAGTTAAACAAAATTTAGAAATTTGGCTGAAGTTACTACATCAAAAAATCCCAACAAAGAGAAGAACCCTTAGATCCTAGAAATTAAACATGATCTTGATGAGTGAGAAAATAAAAAGCTTTGATAGATTTACCCTGTGAAGGAGATGAGAGGAAAGTTGAGGAGATAGAAACTCGGTAGCCCACTGGCGAACAACGAGGTATGAGAAGAATAGGAAGGAGTGGAAGAGATAGAAAGGCTCGGAAAGCATAACGTTCAGCCATTGAAGCGGATTGCTCTTGGCCATTCTAGCTTTCGCTCTCCTATTCTGTGTTACGGTTTTCTCTCTCCTGCACCTTGTTAGACTGTTATGGTCTTTCTATCCGCTCGGCTGATCCTCCTTAATCCACTGATTTTAGGTCACTCTCTCTCATCTACAATTTTAAGGTTCCCTCTCTTCCATGGCAGCTTTCTCTCTCCTTTTTATATTTCTCTCTCTTCCCTGGAAGCTTTCTCTCTCTTCCATTGAGTTTTTGCACGTGAAAAAACTCCTTGATGCATGACCTGCAGGAGTATTTTTGTCTTAATATATATTTTTATATCAATTGGTGGTGAAATACTCCCATGACTAATAAGAGGGAGTTTTTTTGACGTGAAAATGTGTTATGAAAAATATTAATATTTTCACTCGCACCAAATGTACTCAGGTTGCTCTAAATATCATAAATGAAGGGGTGAGGGGCCCCATTCTAAATGAAGGGGATGGGAATTGGGCCGGTTCGACCCAACCCAAAAAGGGCATAGATCTGGACTCAAATTTATACTGGCTAGGTCTCGGTCCAAATGAGCTGGACCTGATTAGGGTCTGGTTCTATTCTAGACCCTATGGCTTGGATCAAGGCCGACCAACCCAAACTAACCAATTATTTATATAAATGTTTGTGTAGAATTTTTACGTATATCATCATTATTTAAGTCTTATTCTAAATATTTAATATCAGCTATATAAATATCTATTTTTCTCTATCAAGTGTCATACTTTCAGTATTCACAAAAAAAAAAAAAAAATCATACTTCAATCAAACAAAAATTCACTATATATTTTCTCACTACTTCTATTTATGCCTTTTTGGGCGTACCCTTTATCCTTTTATAGCTTTCTACTTAAACCAAATTCCAGCTCCTAACTGGTGTTATATTACATCTACGATACACATGGCCAACCCATCTAATTCGATTTTCCCTTATGTTAGTGCCTATTGAAGTCACACCTAAATTCTCTCATATGTATCCATTCATATAATATGAATGTGTATATACAATAATCTTTATATATTTCTAAAGGGGGCGGTTTTCATAACGTTGCAACCTTAAACAATCCAATTAAAGCGCACCTTAAAATTTTACCATAACATATAATTTATTGTAAAAAATTATTAGGATTATCTTAAAATCTATTTTCATACCTAACTAGAAAATTTTAAATTCCAAAAATGGTTAAAATCACGCAGATCTATAAATATATGAAAATCTTGAAAATTGACAGTCTAGATAATGTGTTGCAAGATGCACTATTTTCGGGATTCAAAAACTTTTTTTTTTTTCATATTCATAGATCCTGACGTCGAGATAATTGATTAGAAGGCGTTTTCAATATTAAAACAACATTTCTTATAGATTTTTGAAGTGTATATGTCATTCTACATTTTAAGGTTGCAATATTATATAACTTTTCCTATTTCTAAATACCTAGACCGAACATAGGCCTAGTTAGGTTGGGGTCGACTTGCACCTCACCCATTGACATCCCTACCTACCCCGCCTAAATGTTTCCAAATGACATATGTACGGATCCAAGCCATGCCATGCCATACCAATTTAAAAAAAATTTCCAAATGCCATATGTACAGATCCAAGCCATGCCATTTCCTTTGTATCTCAATGAGCATATTTGTTTTATGGTAAATGACCCACTCAGGAATTGCTATCTCTAGCGCACCGTTGGAATGATCAATTTTTCTAAGCTTACTGAAAAATAATGGGACATTAGTAATCTATGGGTGTGACCAATGCCCCACCTAAACAAAATTTCATATCAATCTGATTTTTCTTTTGAACATACAAATTGCATTATTTATAAGTGGATCCCAAAATTTCTGAGCCCTCTTGAGTGGGTCATTTGCTTGTGGGACCTAAAGGCTTCCTGTTGCATGGGTATTGATCACAAGCACAAAAAAATATTGAATCTCATTGGGATGGAGTTGTGACATGATGATCACAGCAGGCAGAGAAACAATTGCATGTCAACATGTTTAAAAGAAGGGAAATTTATAAAAAAAAATTATTTTATTATCAAATTTAAAAAATAATCTTCTATATTTTATATAGGAAAAATTATTAAAATATACTTAAATTTTTAACAATATAACATTTTATCTTTTATCAACTATTCATGGCCATGTGTATTTAGATGGGTATTTTGAAATTAAATAAAAAAATGTGAATAAAATACTAAATAGTCTCTCTTATGTACATTTTTATAAATTCCCTTTTTGTATTTTACACTCAAGTTCCATTCTTTGAAGTGTGAATTGTGTTTTAATTTTATTTTCTTTTGTGTACCTCACGATTAATCCCAAATTCAGGAAGTTCATGCTTCGCACCATGACACGTTGTAAAAATACCAAAAAATAATTTAAAATGAATAAAAAACAAAAAATACCCTTAAACTTTGTGGTATTGTGGTGCATGTTGTTCGTAGATGACATCGTTTTGATCGATGAGACTCGAAACAATGTTAATACAAAGTTAGAACTTTTGAGGGATGCTCTAGAATCTAAAAGAAGATTTTAAAATTAGTCGAACTAAGATAAAGTATATAGAATGCAAGTCTAATAATAACAGGAATAGATATGAGAACCTAGTAAAGATTGATGACCTCGAAATACAAAAAAGAGTGGACCTTTCATATCTTGAGCCTATAATCTAGAAAAATTGAGAGATTGAGGAAAATATCACACTTAAAATCACAGCTAGATGGGCGAAATAGAGATGTGCAACTATAAGTTTATGTGATTGCGGCATACCAATGAAGTTGAAAGACAAGTTTTATAGGAGAGCTCCAGCTTTGCTCTATAATACATAATATTGAGCAGTCAACAAACAATATACTTATAGAATTATAGACACCCCCTCGAAAATCTGGCAAAGGGAACTCCTAAAAACCTCAATTCTGAGCTTAAAGGACCACAAAATAGACTATAAGAAACCTAAATCCAATATAAGTACTCCAAAATTGCCCAAATTCTATCTCAACTTGAAGTAAACGCGAGATCTTTCCAACGGTTCAAGAATCTCATGAATCAGACCTACGGATAAAAACATCCAACAAATAATAATTAAGTCCCTGTGAGATCTAAGTGTTGAGCCGCGGGCCAAGCGGTGACGCTTCCTGGTGATGCAGTAAAACGCGTTTTATTTAATTAAATAAGGCTACAACTTCCAGATAAATCCAAAACAATTCCAAAACAATTCAAAAAAAATCAACAAAAATCACCAATTGAATCCTATAAATACCCCCTCCATAACCCAAAATAAAAAAAATAAAAAAAGATCAAGGAATCCTTAGAAATTCCCGAAATTAGAAAAATAGCTAAAAAATATCCAAAAATATGAAAAAACCCTAAGAAAATTTATGATTTTTTTAAAAAAAATCTCCAAAAATCATTAAAAATCTCATAATTCATATTCAACATTTGGAGATCGCAAAACAATCTCAAAAAATCTCAAGAAATAACAAAATTGTTATTCAACCTTTGGAGATCCTAAAACAATCCTAAAAATCCCCAAAAATCATAGAATTCATCTTCAACCTTTGGAGATCCCAAAATCCTTAGAAAACTAAGAAAATTATTCTCTAATCTCAATAAATCCCAAGAAAAAGCCTAGAAAGACTCTACCTAAAATTCGTCGTTTTTCCATTTGTCTTAGGAACCCTCGATCTAAGTAAAAAAACCTTAGATATACCAATTCTAGAAACAAAATACACCCAAAATGGTAGTGCAAATCGAAAGAACGGCCTGATCCAAGCTCGAAACTTTAGGTTTCGGGTCCCTAGATGTTAGTATTTCTTTATTTGCTCAATTTAGTTTGTTTTTCTTCATTTAATTATTTGTTTTAGTTTATTTTTCTAAAAATTAAATTATTATTAATATTTTATTAAATTTAGAAGCATTTTTTTAGATCAAAATACGAATTTGGAGCTAGCGCTACCAGTGGCCTCAGAAAAGATCAGGTCTGTATAGATTTGGGATTTTTCTGAGCTCATAATTTAAGCGACTTCACTTTTTCTACTTTTTTAAAAATAATTCAGTTTTTGCTAAGATTTGAGTAGATCTCATCCCAGAGGTTGGCGTAAATCAGAGCGTAAACAAGAATTAGTGTAGCAGAGATGATACTCTTAAGATAGATGAGTGGCAAAATAAGAAGAGATATAATTCAAGATGAATACATTCAAAAAATTTTAGGTGTGCTACCAATAGGTAATAAGATAAGAGAGAGTATACTTATGTAGGTTGGCCATGTGTAAGGTAGACCTAATACAATACCTGTTAGGAGATGCCAGTCAGTTCAAGTGGAATGCTAAAAAAGGCAAGGGGTGACCCAAAAGGACATAGTCAGAAGTAGTGAGAAAATACATGGAAATTTATTAGCTAACTGAGGGTATGATCCTTAATAGAGCAGGATGGTGGACCAGGATTCGTGTAGCTTATCCTAATTACTTGGAAAAAAACTTTGAAGAAGATGATGATGATGTATATTTTTTATCTTTTTAATTACATTTTAATATCATTTACAAGTGTGTTATGGTGAGAGGTATAGATGCTCAAAATTCAAGCAAAATAAATTTTATTAAAAAATAAAATACAATATTTCTTATAAAAAGTGAGACTTACATGTAAATATAAAATCTACAAGCCTATTTGGAATTTTCAAAAAATGGCTTTTCTTGATTTTTAAAAACATCATATAAAAATAAATATATATCAATATGAAAAAGTTGAATAGTTGTGAACCTTAGGGCTTGTTTGGATGATGAACAATCTTATCAAGAGTAGATTGTCTTTTGTGAGATTAATACACTGTGAATAATTTATTATATTGTCAATTATTTGGTATGTACCTTAAACCATATATAATATTTCTTAATTATTTAACATTTCTTACTATATTCAATTATTATTATTTATCTATAGCCAAAAACATGTAATTTAAAGTAAATTCCTTTGAACAAAGTAAAAATAGCTGTTAAATATATAAGCTTATATGTAAAATTCACTATAAGTTATATGTAAAACGCACTATAAGTTTATCTCATATAACTTTATGTGGTATACAATCGGATAATTTATTATCATAATTAACTATATTGAAGCAATGAATTATTAGTGATAAAAAATATCACACAAGTCAGACTCTACTTGGATGACAATTAATCTCAAGAGTAAACCATCTTATTGGAATTAATATATACCTTATATTATACAATACTATTCAATCATTTAACTTTTTCAATGAATTTCCATTTATTTTAGTTATTTGTAGCTAAAAACTATGATTTTAGCAAATTAATTTGAAAAAAAAACAACTTTTTCAAAATGATAAATTTATATGTAAAACTGTCATAAGTTGATCTTGTAAAACTTTAGGGAGGACACTGCAAAGCAACATATAATTAACTATCAAAATTAAATTTATTGAAACAATAGTAATATCTAGTACATTCAAACAACAAACTTTATAAGTAGTTAGCAAGATTAAGTTTATTTATCAATGATATCAAGCACATCAGCAGGAATAAATGCTTTTTATAACCAATGATCATAGTTAACACGTCGAGGAACAATAAATATATCAGCAAATAAACACAGGTAAAAAATCAATTCTGTTTCAAAAAGTTGAAGTCATAAATTTGGGTTAAAAATAGAGATTGTAAAAAGTTAGGAAAGTTAAAGAATCATGAATATTTTGAATTTGGCTTTAAAAAGTGAAGTAAGAATACTAGGTAACATTATGATTTGTAATTATTGTATGGATGTGCATTGAAATCAATAAACAATGATTTTAGGTCCTTACCTAGTATCATTAAAAGTAGTAAGGAAAAAGTTTATATAAGGTTGCAACCTTAAAATGTAGAACTATGGATTCACCTAAAAAATCCATTGAAAAATGTTGGTTTAATGTTGAAAAACTTTTTGATTGATCATCTCAACATCAAGATGTATGACTATGAAAAATAAAAAGATTTTGAGTCTCAAAAAGAGTGCATCTTACAACATATTATCCACACTTTCCATTTTCAAGATTTTCATATGTTTATAGATCTACTTGATTTTAACCATTTTTTAAATTTAAAATTTTATCATTAGATATAAAAATAGATTTTGAGATAAGTCTAAGAACATTTTACATCAAAATTATATGTTACAATAAAATTTGAAGGTGCACCTTAATTAGATTGTATAAGGTTACAACCTTATGGAAACCACACCCTTAAAGTAATTCTTGTCAAAAAAAATTTGACCAAAAAATATACATACGCCAATTCTTGTCAAATTATTGTGCTGCGACACAGAACATAAAATGAAACAACAACACCACCACCAAACACAATTACTCCATCCATTAAGAGAAATTCTAACATAATGTATATGATTACTTCGCTTTTTTTGTTTGACAATTTTACTTAATTTTATTTAACTAAAGTATGATTACAATAACATCAAGATAACATAGTATAAAAAGTTACTAAGATTTTGTAAAGCAACACTTCTCTTGGCTAGACCATCGGCCAACTAGCATTTATCTATAATTTGCATTCATATTGCTCTAAGCCTCCGATGTGGTATTAATTCTTTATTCCACCAGTTAATTACATTAAAAGAATCGCCCTCAATTAAGCAAACCCACCAATGTCTCCTCCAATACAAGCCGATGTGGTATTAATTCTTTATTCCACCAGTTAATTACATTAAAAGAATCGCCCTCAATTAAGCAAACCCACCAATCTGTCTCCTCCAATACAAGCTTAAGTCCTTGTAGAAGAAGACTAACTTCACCTAATTTGCAGTAGCGGAGCCACATGGTTCAGCAAAACAAAAACAACAACATTATCATAATTTCTAACAACTCCAATATTTCATTCCAGCCCCGAGTTCCTAAAGGAACTCCCATAAAAATGTATAGTTAGAAGAAGAAAAAGACCCTTAGTACAGGATTGTAATTAATTAAAACACAAAAAACCAAAAATGTGAAACAATGGTCCACCAAAAATGTCATGTAGTATACAATAGCAAAATAATAAAAAATTTGAATAAGAAAAATTAATCGATCTTGCAAAAAGAAAGCAACTAAATGCTTAAACAAACCCAAATATTCGAACCTGAAATTGAGTTGTTAGCTAATAGTGACTATTTCTCTCTCTTGCTATTATGACGATGCTATGTGTTCAGAGAAGAATTTTCATTTGGATACTCATCGTATAACTCTCCTTATTATTGTAATGCATTTGGTTATTTTGATTGGTTATTTTTTATGGGAATATACTGTTGTGTTTTTTAATACACTCGATGTTGGTGCAAAATTTTCATAGAATTTTTCATTGCATTGTGATTTTTTATTTAGTTCCACTTTTAATGCCCATTATCTGTAAGCCAAAATCTAAAGACATCAAATGATAAAGAGAATGGAAGTTTTAATAAAGTTATGGGGAAGGATTATTTTTAAATATATATATATATTTTTTCTAAAAAGATAAAATACAGATTATATTAGGTCCATTAATAAACATGATTTTTCAATGATCGTTTGAAAACTTTAATTTTATTGTATTTTTAAAAGTTGGAATTTTTTTTTTAAAAAAAATGTATATTAGTTAGAGTCACAAGACCAATTTAAGGAAAAATATAAAAAAAAACGATTTACTTTTAGTAGAAGGATGTCACAATTTCTCTTGTTTAACAGATTCCAAATCACTGAGTGTGTCATTGACTAGGCTCAGCCCTAATTAACACCTTCAAAATGTAACTCCCTAATCTATTGAGAAAATGGGTAAGGACCTGTCTTCTCCACTAAATTACCTAATTTTTTTTTTTAAATCTCAAACTTTATGACAAATCCATCCAATTTGACATATAAAATTTGACACTAGTAGCAATTATGTCCTATTTGTAACAAAGATAAATGATCGCATATAGGGATGGCAATGGATCCAAACCGACATGGGACCCGAGGGGGTGGCAATGCACCCAAAATGACATGCCCGAGGGGGTGGCAATGGACCCAAAACGACGTGGGACCCGAGGGGGTGGCAATGGACCCAAAACGACGTGGGACCCGAGGGGGTGGCAATGGACCCAAAATGACATGGTACCCGAGGGGCAGACCAGATTTGGGTTCGGGATTGGTTCAAAAATTGAACTCAACGGGTTGGGTCTAGATCCAAATCTCAGACCCAAATACTATTTGGGTCTAGGGTTGAGTCCATTCTGGTTTGGGTTCGATAATATTTTTTGGATCCCAATATATGAAATATATTTAAATATAATTAAAGAGTAATGATCTTATGAGACCTCTCACACCCATGTGTGTAGGATCTCAAAAGATCATCATTAAATTTGGCATAGATTTCTAAAAAAGTTATCACAAGAGTGTGGAACTTGACTTTTTTAAAGATTTGTGACAAATTTAATAGTGATCTTTTAAGGTCATACATACATGAATGTGGGAGGGTCTCATAGGATCATTACTCATAATTAAATATATATATAATTTAATTTTTGGGTAATTTGATTAGGTCTAGTGAATTCGGATCCAGGTCCCATAGCATTTATTCGGGGCCGAAACCGGGCCATACCCAACCCATTGCGAGGCTCATAATATGCAATTAAACAAAAAATATTTTAATTTTAATAACAGGGTAAAATTGAAAATAATCCTTCCATCGACTTATGGCAAGAGAAGGGTGGAGAGTGAACAAACTTATTAGTGATTTGGTTAAAAATCCTGTGGGAATCGGGGACCCAAAACCACAGCTAAACCCCATTCTCTCTCTTTCTCTGGCCATGGCTTCCAGGTACCGCGCCCTCACAAGAACCACCATTTCTTCTCTGAAGTCCGCCATGAAACCCAAAACCTCTCTCCCCAACTCCACAACATTACCACCCTCGTCTTCTCCCACTCGTCTCTCTCTCTCTTCCAGGCAAGCACACCACCGCAACTGGTCATTTCTTCTATTTCCTTCTCTCTATACAGTAGTCTTTCATTTCCTCATTTCCCTCTCTCTCTAGACAACTCTCATTTTTCTCTGTTTCTCTCTCTAGGTTGGACACGGAATTGCGTTGCTGCCGGTCTCTGTATCCGCTCCATAGCACGGTGGCTTCTGCGAGGCTTATTTGTTTTTTGGGATTGGATGGGAAGGCGTCGAGGTCGATGTCTCAGGGTAGTCTCTGTTGTTCCTATCCAGGCATCTGATGTTTTTCTTTGTAATGTGTAAGCAGCTTCTTTTGCCTTCTGGCTTAATGTTCCATGATAGGCCAAAACTATTCATCTTGGTATTGATTAAATTTTAAAATGACGAAGATTCATGTTTGGCTAATGCTTAAAGTGATTGAGGTGATGGATTCCATGGTTGTTGGTGTTTGGGGGTTTTTTGAGGCTGCTTGGTCATTTCATTTGCTATGGTTTCTATATATGTAGGAAAAAACTGAAAATTAAGAAAGAGAGAGAGGGGTTTCTTTTTCTTTGTTTCCTTTTTCTTTTTCCCTTTATTTGTATTTAGTTGTTGTCGAGTTTGTGGTCGGCCTGCCCTAGTAGCCCTCCTTTAGAGCCAGTTTCAATAAGATCGAAGGTTTATGGACGTTACCAAAATCGATCTAAACATCACCCATTGACATTGAGATTAAATTTAGTTTTGGAGGTTTTATAAGTGACCCCATTGATGTGGGTTGGAAATACGGCTATAACCCTGATCCATATAAAAAGTTCATGGTGATATTAGAGAGGAGATAAAATATTATGCGAGTATTGTAAAAAAGAAAAAAGAGGAGAGAGAGGCATCCATGGTACAGCTGAGGTGATGATAGTGATCACGAAGGGTGTGAAGAGGTGGAACAACTTGCCTTATCCCAGGGGCAGTATATGTGGACTTGTGGATTATAGACCTTTGATATGCATCCTGATTTTGTATGTTATTTCTTATTTTCTTTCATTTTCTTGATGATGAATTGACGTCTTGCTAAGTTGCTATCTTGGATTATAGACTAAAACATGTTTCAATTTACAATGCTTGGAATTATGAACTAAAATATGTGTCAATATGTATTTTTTAATTTTGTACACAATATCTGACCTTAAAACATCTTTTTATTCTGCTGAGCCGCCTAGGTTTAGGGTGGCCTGACCCCAGCTGCCTAAGCACTGCCAGGCATTTTTTTGGAACACTGCTTGGAAAGGAAAAGCAAGTTACCTTTGGCAATTGGGATTGCTTGGGGCATTTCAGATTTATATTCATTTTTTGCCAATTGTGTGATAATGACCTCTGTTTTCTTTCATGTTTTCGGGAAATGAATATATGGATTTTATTTGCTTTGCTCTCCACTGGAAAATCAACCATAATTGAAATGATCTAATTTTGATCATTCAAAATGAAATCGAGAGTTGGGGTTTCCCAGCCGTAATTTCTCCAACTTTCAAGCCTTCTATTTCCAGTAATATTCCTTTCTGGATCATGTTTGTGATCTGGTATGAGTATAGATAATTGAATGCTCATGAAATGGGGAATAGTAGATGATAGTTTCCTGGTCACTGCCCAAACAAACTAAATAAGATAAGGCATAGGGTTTGTTGTGCGCGGAAGCTCTAAAACTCAACGAGTTGAGTTGTAGCAAATAAAAAACGAGAAAAGCCACAATTGGCAACAAGCAAGAAAAATAAAGAGGGAAAGAAATAATGTAGAAGGAACACCAAGATTTTAAGTGGTTCCCCCTAAAGGGATACATCTACGGACATAGCAAACTAAAATCCACTATACTGATGAAAGTAGATCACATATTTTTGGATCCAAAAGACATCTTACTAACCATTGACAATACCCAATCAAACAACCTTCGAAACCATTTTCCCAACCGACATCCCCTATCGTTATCATTCTTCTTTACTTTTGGCAACTATTACTGAAGAGACTAGATAGATCTCTTTACAAGGGGCATATCACCCAAAATCTCCATGAGAATTAGTTCTCTACAAAAAAAAAGCCTCTCTCCACACGAGGCATGGGCATACCTTTTCTTTCACTAACAGCTCACTTCTCTCTCTAGAGGCTCCTTCTTCTCTGTGCAGGAGCCGTTACCTCTCTCTAGAGCGAAGTCCACCTTTCCCATAAGGTGACCCAGATAAAGGAATCCCATAAATGTCACATATTCTCAAACGTAAGATATAACCAAGGGTCCTATCTAATTGTACTTCATTGGGTATCCCAACTAAATTAGGAAACTTATTTATATCAATCCTAATAATATAGGATTTCCATATGGATGTGATTTTGGACATCACCATATCTCATAGGGTTTAAGGTCGAATGAATATGGGATCGGCAAGTGAATAAGTGAGGCATGAAGGAACCATTCTTTGTCTCAGCTTGAGTACTGATTCAGTTGCTCTACTGATGGACACGCTATGCGACTCACTTCTTTATCTTTCCATAGCATCTCCCAACTCCCAACTTTATTTATTATAGGATCTTGCTATCTGGCGATGGGTGTCTTCAAGCATCATCATCCTCATCCGAGCCCTATACCAACTATTTCGGGTCGGCAACATGACTCATGTTCTGCCATTCTGCCCAGATGGGTGTCTTCTATCATTTCCAACGTGAAGTTTAGACCTTGTTTTTCCTGGTTATTTGTTCTCAAGTATTGAGCTAGCTGATGCTTTTTCTTTGTTTTATTTGTTGACATTAATCAGGATGTTCTTTGTTTTTTTCTTTTTTAGAGGGAACTCAAACTTGAATTTTGCAAGCATTATAAAGGAAGTTGAGAATTTGGTCACATCCGAAGGAAACTTATTATTAAAAAATAAATAAATAAAGATTTCAGATTCTGTTCTGATCATTGTAATTTGAGTGTGCAATTCTTAAGTTGTAGCTCTCTTTTTTTATCTTTGTTTGAAAGTTGTAGCTTAATTATTCCTTTCTTAGTTGTATACTTGATAATACAGAGGCATTTGGTTGTTCAGTTCAATGTAGCTAGTACATAATGTAAATATGCTGTTTAATTATGGGGTAGATACCTATGAACCACTGTACACTTTTGTGATCATTGCATGGATTCATTATTCAAATTGTCAAACTAAATGTTCATGTGAATGTGGTAGTCAGAAATAGTTAAAGAAATCTTGCAACTGAAGTTAATAAACAAATATGGATTTGCTTGTAGAGAACCATTAATGCCTCGACATCGAGCTAATGAACATAAATTGGATGCTTAAGGTAGTTATAATGTGGAAGATGTTGGCACTGTGTATGGTGAAAGAATGGTCGTTATTCAGGGGAAAACCACTAAAGAAATGCAAAATCCACGTGGTGATGGTTTGTGAAAAATGCAATTAACTTATGGCTAGATATGTATGAACTACTGAATGTTTTTTTCATAAATGTGTGAACTCAGTTTTCAAACTAGCAAACTAAATGTTCATATGAGTGTATTCCTCATAAGTGATTAAATGAATAAATATTGCAATTAATTGTAATAAACAAACATGGAAATACTGACAGATAACCATTAATGCTTGGGCGTTAAGCAAACTAACAACTCCTGATAGTTATCAATGGAATATGTTGGTAGTGGTACAGTACTGTATATGGTAAATGGCTGGTATTTATCAAGGGGAAAACCACTAGATTCATGCAAAATTCAAGTAGTGAGTTTTGCCTTGGTTTATGATCATTTTAATGCGAGGGATTTTTGGTAAATTATTTATTTGCTTGTTTAATGCAAGGGGGTTTTCTCTATGCACATTTACACATATCCCTTTGTAGGGTTGCTTCCAAAAAAATGCAGCTGTCTTATATGTAAGCCATACGAATTTTTGTTGAGGATTTGGCATTTGCTCTCACAAACTATATCCGCACACAGGAGATTACAACGCTCTCTTGACCTACAAACAATGTCCATTGACATTTCTCTGACCTCAACAAGAGATGACCCTCAATGAACCCTCAACGGTAGTGCATATACCCAAGGAAAAGGGATTTTAGACATGACCCAGGCTATAGACTGCCCAACCCTACTTTGTAAGAACTTCAAAATTACCACCCTACTTACTATCTCATAAAGCCATCTAGGTTCATCTAATCCATCACTAGTGGGAGTTTTTCAAAGTTTAGTCCACTGACTTACAAAGTTGCCCTTTTTCCTCTTTTGAAGTAAAAATTTAAATTTAAATTATTGCATCACATCTCTTCCTTTGTTGCAAGTTTGGCGAAGAATGGACTTTTCACCCATCAGAGAGGCATATAGTGGATAATCTCAAGATCCAATGGCATCCCATGTGACCCAAAACCTCATTTTTGGTCTCGTGGTCTCCTCCACTGGAGGGCCACTACAAACTCAACATTGATGGTTCGAATCCTGGATTGGCTGGTTGCGGTGGGATCATCAGGAATGACATGGGGGGCTTCCTTGCTGCCTTTGCTGCTCCCTTGGGCCATACAACCAACAATATAGCTGAATTTCTATCTCTTGAAAGAGGCATGCAGCTAACTATTGAGATGCAATGCTTCCCATTGCTTATTGAAAGCGACTCACAGATTTTGGTGTGCTCCATCCTTGGATGCCATAAGGCCCCATGGATTCTTCGCATTTCTGCATCAAACTGCACTCACCGCCTTGCAGGCCGTTCTTGGAACGTATCACACATCTATTGCAAGGCCAACATTGTAGTGGATGACTTGGCTAAGAAAGCTGCAACCCTTTCAGGGGCCACCGTTTGGCAAGCCTGGCCTTTGGACTTCTTGCCTTTTCTCATCTCTTCTGACATGGCTAGGTTAAAATATGAAAGAATTGTAACATAAGCTCTGTATTCCTTTCTTTCTTTCACTATTAATGAAAATGGGTAGGGCCCCAAATCCCCACAAATTTACCCAAATAAAAAGAAGTAAAAATTTAAATAGTTCGTAGAACCCTCTTTTCAAACCCTAGCAATCATTTCCATTTCCTACTGCCCTTTCTTCTCCATCATCTTTCTTGTTCCTCACTCTCTTCCCCTGGACTGTTTGAAAATATACTTTTAGACAGATAAATGAAACCACGCTATCAAACCTATTTTTGATATCATGAGTCCAGATTACGGAAAGCAATGTGTGGTGTGGAAAGACAGTTGAATCATGATGACTGTGAGACTTGTCATATTCCATTAATTTACAAATGATTGATGGAGAAACCAGAAAATGGGGGAATTTGGTCTATGTGAGAATTCAGAAGCCATGAGAGAAGCTTACCACTTTGCCTAAAGGCTGCTGAGCAGGTGAAAGTTGTGACTACTTTTGTTTGAACAAATGTGTCAGCTTTTCTGATACAAAAAGGATTTCAATGGTCAAGGCTTCATATTTTGCCAGATTATTGGTACATTTGGAGGTTGGCTGAAAAATGTGATCCATAGATTGTTATTATGTGTAACAAATCCGAAACAGACACCAGAATCATCTACACCAATAGCTCACTTGGAAGATACCTTCCAATTTATTGAACTAATATTAGAGAGTCATGCTTGTCCAGTAGCATCATCTAAAACATCGGATAAACAAACAAATAAATCCATATTACCCCTTCTGCTAGTGGCTTTGCCCTGACTGAACTGATCTATCTACATGAACAACATAGGAAATTTGTTTAGTCCCCCAAACAGGGCAGACCTTGAGAGAAGATGGTTGTCTGGGTTAATTCTTGTTGAACATGTGCAGGGAAACAGCACCAATTCTTTTCGGAAAACAAGTATTTGTGCGAGTGGATTTTCTCAATGAGAGGACATTTCGCTTCACAAGTACTTCAAGTATCACAAGTACTTCAAGTATGATTATGGCAGTGAATACCGTAAAACAATGCCAGCTCAGATATCTAGGACTTGCACAATTGGCTTAGGCTAATGCTGAGGTTCTGCTGCCAAGGGTCTATTTATAATTGAGAATTAATTTATTTTGATACTGTGAACATTGATTTATGATTGAGAATTTGTATCAAGACTTTACATTGTTGACAGCATTCTCCAAATGTTTGTTTCTCATGCGAGAATGTTTTCCTTCATGCATTACATGGTAAAAGGTTCAGCTATTATAGGCTTGGAAGGGCATTTGTGCACATATGCATTTCCAGCTAACTAATTGGAAAACTTTTCGTTTATATGTATTTATTAGTAGGGAATGGAGATTTCTAAGGCACTGGCCATAACAAATGTGTGTATTATATCGGAACTTTCAACCGAAGGAATACATCTAGAATTTTAGATTCTACTGAGGGGTTTTTACTAGAAGTGCAGGAAAAGAGAATGAAAGTAATGTGTCTAGCTCTTGCATTCAGGGTTTTTGTAGTAGCAAGCTTGAAGAAGATTACTTCTATGGGAGACCACTGTAACCTTCTTTGCCCTTGATTTATTACTGAAACTATGAACGTTTTTTATGAACTTGAAGGGTAAAGTGGCTCACTTGGCATGCCAAAGTACATGTGTGTTGGCTAGTCCCTTGGCAGTATGGTTATGACAATTATATTGAACATTATGTTTCATTGAGAATGTTTTTCTACGAATATGTTTTGTGTGCATGTTAGAGAATGTACATACCTCATATTGAGGTGCATTGCTAGCCCTTCTTGTTTTCTTTTCACCTTATTTAATTTATGTTGTATTCTCTATTTCATTATACTCCCTGTATTGCCTTATGGGAATATACTTTGTTGGCGTTCTACCCCTTTCTACACCATCTCTTATCCAACATTTCATATCCTCCACCAAGCTTTTTTGTTATCCTTCTCATTTTATATCAGGTTGTGATCTAGGTCAATACCTCAGTGAACCGTATCGTCCTCCTAATACTTAAGGTTTCTGTAATTAGTTGACATACTTCCTCTATTGAAACAAATAGAATATTCTTTCCTCCTTTCTTCCTCCATCCTTAATAAAGTCATCTCCATTCGGGAAAATTTAGGTGTGGCACCAATAGGTGATAAGATGAGAGAGAGTAGACTAAGGTGGGCTGGCTATGTGTGGCACAGACCTAGTACAACACCTATTAGGAGGTGCAAGTTAGTTCAAGTAGAAGATTCAAAAAGGGCAAGGAATAGGCCTAAAAGGATGTGGTTGAAAGTAGTCCAAAAAGATATGATGACTTATGGTCTCATTAAGGGTATGGCTTTTAATAGAGCAGAATGGCAGACCATGATTCGTGTAGCTGACCCCAATTAATTGGAAAAAGGCGATGGTGATGATGATGATGACATTCTAACAATGAAGGAAGGCAACAAAACTCTTTCCAAACAAGGACCCACGAACTCACATTGTCCATAGCCCATTCTCTAAACACTACATAGCCAGCTAGTAAATGAATCATTGGAATCTCCAAAAAGTATAGATATGTCACATTTCACAAAGCAATTGACCTCTTTATTGACAGTGCATTAAACCAGCTTCACGGAAAGAATTTAACTAAATTTCACACTATCCAACACGCCTAGAACGGATCCAAGCAGTCTAGACCAAACTCCAAGCATGGAGGCAATACATTAGCAAGGTGTCCACTGGTTTTCCACTTCCGTACTCAGGAAGAGTAGATTTTGGGGTCTAAACTTGCCAGTTCAGAGTATTCTGACTCTGACGGCAGAGTCTATTCTCAAAGCCATATTTTTAAGCATTTCTATTAGCTACATAAAATCATGAAACTATATTGCTTAACCAGTTTTTCATGTTTTATAAGAACTTTGGATGTTGCTCTTGATGATGACTAGTGAAAGCACCGCTAATATTAATGCTTAAAGAAGATCAGCTGGAACAGCTTATATAAATCAAGAGGGGCAGATCAGTGATCATTCGGTCTCTTTTGTTTCGCCCCAATTTTAGCGGACACGTCCTCTTGGCAGCGTAGAAGAAGCCCCAAAAAGAAAATATTGAAAAAAATATCCTAGGAAATGTTTCTTTTTGAATTTGATGGGTGCAGGTTGTCCATCATGGGTAGCAAGATCTAGCCTTTTAGGAAGCCAAAATCAATTTTCTTTTCTTTAGATGGTTCGTCTATGATGGTGAGGCAATTTAAAAAATTTGAGGTTTAAACAAAATCCCCTGGGGCTTTGGTCTAACGCCATTCTTTCTTTCCTTATGGGGAGGACATATTCATTGCATTTTCTCTCCCTAAAAAACCATTTGTAGTTTTTTTTCACCATCTTCTTCACTGAACCAAAAGCATGCGTGTGCCAAATTTGGGGCAAAACAACTGTCCCTAGTGCGCCCGTAATGTGGAGGGTGGATACTCTGTGCATGTAGGCTGCTTATTTTTAATTTCATGCTGCAGCTAAATTGTATGGCACCCTTGTCAAACTGGAAATGTTTGCTGAAATATATCTTCTTGTATCTTTTGCTACATTTGATTTTACCCTTTGAGCTATGTGTCGTTTTCGAAACTAAGAAAGATCCTCTGTGATATTGCTAATGTGAGTCTCTCTTTCTCTGTGTGGTCTGTGTGTGTGTGCACGCTCCACATGCTAGTTATACAGGTTTCACTTTTCTCATTCATGCCGCACTATAAATCCTGATATTGTTTCGTTTTCTTGAGAATACCTGATATATATTTTTACCCTTGAACTTGTTTTCCAGAGTTGGGCCTTTCGGTGCCGCGATAAAAGCTCGGAAAGATGTTAGTAGAATGGTTGAGAGAGCCTTGTCCTTGCCTCAAATCTTATTTTTATTTTCTTATGGTCACCATCAAAGAAACTCCTTGGATTTTGATGGACTACTCATCTTTGATCACCATTCCATTGTTGGGTAATGACTGAATGACATGGAACTATTTTAGGATCAATGACACACGATTTCAAGTTTTGATAGACTTTAATGTTTCCATTGTTCCAAGTGTATCATTTGTGTTAATTTATTCCAATAAGCTGCAATGCTTATCTAAAATTTCTTTGAATCATCTCACAACTTGTGTGCCGAATTTGTAAGGCTCTTATCTTCAGTTTTATGATTTTTATCTGGTTGAAAGGGTATTGCTTAGCATTGCTCTTAAATATGGTGGGCTCTCTCTCGCTCTGGCAAAATCAATCACAAGTTGCAAGCCTACCTTCAATGTTTAGTTCTTATGTCTCTCTCTCTATGTGGGGCAAAATCAATCAATCACTGAAGGTAGGCACCTTCAGTGTTTAGTTCTTAGGTCTCTCTCTCTCTGGAAAAATCAATCAATCAAGTTGCAAGCCTACCTTCAATGTTAGTCCTTGCTTGTTCATCATTTGAGCCAGTGTTCGATTGATCGAACACTTGGGCCACGTACTTGGCCCAGGTCCGAGCTGAGTACTCTGTCTGAGTCCAAGTGACGCCCAAGTTGGGTTGAGTACTTTTCAAGCTAAAAAATGTTAATTTGTTTTTTAAAATACAAAAAAATACAAAAGAAAAAAGGAAAGGAAATATATGTTTAAAGTAAAACTGAATAAAACACATATAAATGAAGTTAAAAAATAGATTTTAAAAATCAATTTGTGATTGGAAGTATTTTTGAAATAATTAAAAAAAAAAGAAAAAAGAAGAAAAAATATTCATAGTTAATTTTTTTTTTTTCAATCTTTGCGAATATGATAAAATGCATAACAAAACATGTTACAAGTAGATTTCTTATTTTCTTTGAATATTTATAATTCTTTTTATTTTTTTCTTAAGATCCTGGACCCCCAACAAGAGGATGCTTAGCCTCACCTAGGTGGCGAGCTTGAGTTACTTGGGCGAGTCCGTAGCCCGACTAAACCTACTTGATTAATGCAAACAAAAGATTTTGCTTGATATATAGAAATGTCAATATCAGCTTTTACCTTGAATATATCTACTCGAATTGAGCGAAATACAAATCTAAATAAAATAGAATTGTCCATTACTAATGCTTTCTAAGAAACTGTTAATAACTATTATCATCATCATCATTTTAGTTTTTTTTCAATTAATTGAGGTCGGCTATATAAATCTTGGTTTTTCATTCTGCTCTATTAAAACCCATATCCTCAGTGAAGCTATAAGTCTTTATATCTTTTCGAACTATTTTCAACCACGTTCTTTTGGGCCTACTTTTTGTCCTTTTCAGTCCCTTCCACTTGAGTTAATCGCATCTCCTAACAGGTGTTGTACTTGGTTGACGTCATACATGGCTATCCATTTAAGTCTACTCTATCTCATTTTATCGTCTATTGGTGTCATGCTTAAATTCTCTTGAATAAATTCATTGTGAATTTTATCCCTTATTGTCTTGCCATTCATCTATTTCAACATCCTCATCTCCACTACACTCATTCTATAGGTATTTTTTTTTTTGTCCGCCCATCATTCCACCACATAAAGCAAAACTGGTTTATCCGCTGTTCTATAAAATTTGCCCTTAGCCTCATTGGTATGTAGCGATCACATAAAATTCTATTTACACATTTTCACTTCGTTCAACCCGCTCTAATTCTTCGTCTAACATCTTCCTCGATCTCTCCATATTTCTGGATTATCGATCCAAGATATCGAAAGTGCGGTCTTTTTTGTACTTCTTGACAATCAATCTTAACTACTTCTTAATGTCTATTCTTATTATTGCTAAATTTGCACTCCATATACTCTATTTTAGTCTGATTAATTTTAAAACTTTTGAATTCTAGAGCATCCATCCAAAGTTCTAACTTTGTGTTGATGCCGTTTCAGGTCTCATCAATCAAAACTATATCATCTGCGAACAACATGCACCACGGTACCTTATCCTGTATGTGCCTAATTAAGTCGTCCATAACTAAGACAAAGAGGTACGGGCTCAATGCTGACTCTTGATGTAAACCTATTGTTATTGAAAACCCACTCGTCTCTCCACTAGTTATTCGTACACTAGTGACCGTTCCATCGTACATATCTCTCACCAAGTCGATTTAAGGTCTAGAGACGCCTTTCTTTTCCAACACCCGCCAAATCAAATATTGATGATAATAACCATTATACCAAAAATAAAAATAAAAAAATTATGGAATTTGAACCCTTCATTGCGCTTCTTTTTAATACAAAATAAGTGGAGATGTTGCTCCTAATATTACGCCCTTTTCATTTTTGACAGCTATCATTTTTAATTTTGGGAAATTTATTTGACTTATTTTTTTGATTTAATTTTAAAAATCAATCAAAATATATCTAATAATGAGTTGGAATGGTTGAAAGTGGGTAAAATGGTAAATAACTTATTAGTTAAGTGTATCTTTATAAATTTAATTTTGAGGGCATTACCACATTGTGTAGCTTAGTAAAGGTTTAAAATTATATTTAGAAGGAAAACGTTTATGTAAGGTTGCAACCACAAAGTGTAAAATTAAGTTGCATCTCAAAAATTCATCGGAAAAGGTTGTTTCAATGTTGGAAAACCCCTTTATGGAAAAGAAAAATATAATTTTTTGAGTTTAAAAAATAATGCATTTTGCAACATACTATATCGACCGTCTATTTTCAAGATTTTCATGTATTTATAGATCGACTTGATTTGAACCATTTTTAGAGGTTACAATTTTATAATTAGAGATGAAAATAGATTGTCAGTCCATCTTAAAAAAAATTTACACTAAAATTACATCTTATAATAATTTTTAGAGGTGCACCTTACTTCGATTGTCTAAGGTTGCAGGCTTATGCAAACCACACCCATTAGAGAAAACCCTGACAAATCACCAAATTATCCTTCACAGTGGATGGGTTTTGGTAAGCTCATTGGTTAGTAGTTACTGTGCTTTTTCTTGGAAACATCATTAATCCTCAACATTTTCCAATTAACCAAATAGAAAGCCAAAAGGCTTAAGTTTTTTTAGTGCCAGGTTTATGTTATGATAAATAGGCAGCAATAAGCATGTAATGGTCGTGTTTAAAAATAAACAAGTTGTAGCATTGCTTATGTCGACTGCTAACGATTAATTGTAAAAAGGCTATGCAAACCAAAACTACATAATGAAAAAGTGAAAGACTAAGTACATCTCATATTCATTGCTTTTTACATGAAAATAAACAATTAATAAATTTCAAAAGAAATATGATTAAGCTTAATCCTAGAATTCCATTGATAAAATTGTTTTTCAAATCTCTTATTGGGGATTAGTATATTGACTTTAGGCAACAAACCACTGAGATTAAATACCTCAAATATTGAAAGAATCCAATAACCCTGAATTGTACTTCAAAAAAAAAAGAAGAAGTCAAGAAACTTAAGTATTTATCTTTGTCTTGCTTATGCAAGGGAGACCTTCTATTGTGCAAATAAGGTGCACCTCACAAATCCACCTGAAATATTGTTCCGAAGTTGAAAACCCCCACAATTGATCATTTCGTCCTTGAGATATATGGAAATAAAAAAAGAAGATGATTTCAAGGATTAAAAATAGTGCATTTTGTAACACATTATCTAGGCAGTCCATTTTACTTATGCATAGGTCCGTGGTTCATTATTAGAGCAAAGGTTTGTCAAAAAAACACGGTGAGATGAAGAACAGTTGGAATCCAAAATAAAATGGGAAATGGAATAGGGTTTACCAGAAGAAATAGTGCATGATGGAGGTTGCTTGAGTGAAGCTGTATTGGTGAGAGATGAGTTTGTGTGAGCTTAGGAATGCATGTAATCCTTAAGACGAGTGGGACACCGACTGATACGTTCCGAGCGACGCATGGGGGTAAGAGCGAGAATAGGTGTAACAGGTATCATGGTTTCGGCTGACAGGGATGAAACTGGGTTAGGTGACTCATGAGTAGATAAGACCTCAATATCATGAGTAGGTAGGTTTAAAGATGAAACTTTAGAAGTGTCATTGTCCACAACAAGCAAGAGAAGAACTGTGAAAATGATCTCAAGTTCCATATTTTTGTCTTAAAAAAGGAACACATCTTCACGAAAGATGACATCTCGACTAGTGAAAATGGTCTCCTTTTTCAAGTCAAAGACACGATAGCCTTTTTTACCATGAGGATATCTAACAAAAACACATTGCTTGGACATATGATCAAATTGTGTTTATGAATATCACTATTATGAGCGTAACAGAGGGTCCAAAAACATGTAAGTGTTTATAAGATGGCGGAGTTTTAAACAATACTTCTTGTGTAGATATGCCAAATGATATGGGTGTGGGAATTTTGTTTATCATGTATGCTGCAGTTAAAATACATTCACCCCAAAATTTAATGGGAAGATGGTCCTGAAAGCGCAAAGCACGTGTCACTTCAAGTAAGTGATGGTGTTTGCGCTCAACAATGCCATTATATTGGGGTGTATGTAAGTAAGTTCGCTGGTGGATGATCCTACGTTCATGTCGTGAGACAAGAACTCAGTTCCATTGTCGGTTCGAATCTGTTGAACACGACAATTGAACAGGGCTTGTACCATTTGCAAAAAAAACTTTAGAAAATGATATGTATTGGATTTGAACCTCATCAAGTAAATCCATGTGCATCGTGAACAATCGTCTACAATAATAGTCAAGAGTGGAGTATCCACCTTATAAGTGTTCATAAGATGGTTGAGTTTTAAACAATATTTCATGTAGAGATATGCCAGATAATATGGGTGAAGGAATTTTATTTATCACATATGCTGCATTTAAAATACATTCACTCCAAAATTTAATGGGAAGATGGACCTGAAAGTGCAAAGCACATGTCACTTCAAGTAAGTGATGGTGTTTGCGTTCAACAATGCCATTATGTTGGGGTGTATGTACGTATGTTCACTGGTGGAGGATCCCACGTTCTTGAAAAAGGGTTTGCATGGCGTGAGACCAGAACTTAGCTCCATTGTTGGTTCGAATATGTTGAACATGACAATTGAACTGGGTTTGTACCATTTGCAAAAAA